GTTGGTGAAAGGGCTGGAGGGAGGCAGCATGTTTGGCCTTGCAGTAATAGGCCTTGGGTTACTGCTGTCTTCCTCTTGTGAGATTAGAGGAGGTCAGAACATGTGGCCTCCTCGCAGTTTTTACAGTCTGTTCAAGTTTTTGCTGGTTTTTGATTGGGTGGTTTGTCTTGTTGTAAATGCTTCATGTATATCTTGCATGTTAAACCCTTGTCAGATACATGGTTTCTCACAATATTTTCCCAATCTCTTAAGTAGTCTCTTCACTTTTTTGATGAAGTACTTTGATGAATAAAATAGTTTTTATGAGGTCCTATTTATCTGTTTGGTCTTTTGTTGCTCAGTTTTTGTTATAATATCTGATAATCTGTCATTAAAAGCTAGGTCCGTCCCACTGACAGGTCCCTTTGTTTTCTTCTAAGAATTTTATGGTTTTAGGTCCTTGATCCATTTTAAAAGAAGCTCTGGTTGTATGGTGGGTAAGGCATTTGGCTGGTAACCAAAAGATTAGTGGCTCAAACCCACCATCTGTTCCATGGAAGAAGGATAGGCAGTCTGCTTTCATAAAGATTTATAGCCTTGGAAACCCAATGGGAGTCACTATGAGTCAGAATCAACTTGATGGTAGTGAGTTTGGTCTGATTTTTGGATCCATCTTCAGTTGACTTTTGTATATGGTATGAGTTATGTATCCTGAAACATTCTTCTGCAAGTGGAAATCCAATTTTCCCAGCACCATTTATTAAAGAGACTCTTGCGTTTGGTGGTGTAGTGGTTAAGGCACTTGGCTGCTAAAAGATTTACAGCTTTTGAAACCCAGCATGGGTCGCTATGAGCCAGAATCGACTTGATGGCAGTAAGTTTGGTTTTGAGTCTTGCTTCCTGTAAAATGGAAGTAGTAGTAGCAGCAGAACCTGTATAACTTCAGTGGGGATAATACAAATTACCATTGGCCCAAGGCTGAGTCCTTTGATGTGAAGGTCATAATACCTCCACTTGCCAACTTTTTCACCAATTCTGAAATCAGCCGCCCATCCCACAGTACTCTACTTTTCTGGGTTCCATAATCTGTTGTAATGGCCACACAGAACTCACAGACTAAATTTACAAATAAGTGGTTTATTAAAGAGGTTACAGTACAACTTGGGATCAGGATTGACAGGCTACATGTAACTCAGGATCAATCCATGACACCAGTATTGGCATCTTAATTATATTGAGTTTCCCAGTACATGAACATGAGTGGTGGTGTTGTTGTGTGCCATCGAGTTGGACCCAACTCATAGCGACCCCTCCTTGGGTTTCTGAGGCAGTATCACTACAGAAGTAGATTGCTCAACCTTCCTTCCGAGGAGTGGCTGGTGGATTTGAACCGCCAATCTTCTGGTTAGCAGTCAAGTGCCTTAGGCACTATGTGCTACCAGAGCTCCCTGAACATGAGTGTAGGATGCTATTTATAAATGTTTTTCCATTTATTTAAATCTTCTTTAATCTCTTTCTGCAGTGTCTTAAAATTTT